AGTCCGTCTTTGGGGCTGGTCAGTCCCGTCTGTCCCCTCTCCTGCCTCGGCTGCTCCTGTCTGTCACACAGAGACCTACACGGCCCAGCGTGGGTGGAGAGCAGAACAGCTCCTGTAAGGGGAACGCCACTGTCACAGCTGGCTGCCCCAGCCCTGGGGCCTCCTGGGGTGCAGAATCCCAGATCCTCTTTACTGCTCCTGAGTCGTCTGCTGCCAACCTGGGTCTTGGTGTCAGTTACGAAGGAGATGGGGTCACTCCCCACACTGCCGCCTGAGCCACTCTGCCCACTCCTTTGGATGACTTGGAAGAAACTCGGCTCATGGTGACATGCGCAGAACATGCGCAGAAGCCCTCTGAGCTGCCACTTCAGGACCCTGAACTGAGCACGCCCAGAAATGTGGCCGCCACCTTTCTTCCCTAAACTGTGACCTCAGACTCATCCTACATTGCCCAAGAATGTGCTCCCCCTAAAATACACTCCCGGGTGAATGTGCCTGAGTTCTCCGAACAGAATCCCCATTGCTTTGAAAATAGCCCTGAGCCTTCCTCACCTGCTGCAGAAGATGAACCTCTAAAATGGTTAAAACAGAGCTGGGTGTGGCGGTGCAGGCCTGTAATCCCAGCACTCGGGAGGCTGAGGCAGGAGGATCGTTGCAAATTTGAGACCAGCCTGGGCTACAAAGTGAGCTCAAGGCCAGCCTGACCTGCACAGCGGGACCCTGTCTCAAAAAGACAAAAAAAAAAAGTTAAGGTAGTGACACTACTGACTTCTCTGAGCTCACTGAGGAGAAAGATTTGTGCTGGTGTTGTTCGGACAGTTGAATGCAGATGTCTTGCACTCTGGGTGACTGTTCTGGGGATGACAGTGCACAAGAGAGGTGGCATTGTTGCTCTGATTGATGTGCTTAGAAGTTTTCTTTTTTCCCTTTGAAATAAAATGGATCTGGGGGGAAAAAAAAAGAACAGTAAAAGAAAAAAAATGAACCTCCAGTCTCTTGCTTCCTAGGAAAGGCGTGGGAGGCCAGGACCTCCAGAAACACCAGAGCAGCCCCCTGAGATCCGCACCTGAGCTCTGATTGGCACCGTACAGAGAGTCGACCCTCTCTGAGGCCGGCTTGCTCCTCTGTGACATGGACTCGTGATGTGGCCTTCCCCAGGACACGGAGCACTTCCCGGGCTGTGGGCAGCACTCAGACCCAGGCGGCTGGACAGGCAGCTTCCACCCGCAGGTCCCAGCAGCCCCAGGCTCCAGCCCGTCCTGGACAGGATGGGTGTAGAATTGTGCAGCCCAGTTTGGCCCACAGCTCCCTTCCCCTTCCCAGGAAAAGCACTAGACCGGCCATTTGTTTTTGAGACAGTTTCACCACCTTGCCAAAGCTGGTCTCAAACTTGTGACCCTCCTGTCTCAGCCTCCCAAGTAGCTGTGCGTCACTGCGCCTGACCTGAGCTTTGTCAAAGGTCAGCACGTGGGCTTTCCAGCTTCTCTGCTAGGACTGTTTGCACCCCGAATGTCCTTATTGAAATACCAACAGCATTCACTTCTCAGAGTTGACAGGCTCATCAGAGATCTTCTGAATGGTCGCATCTGTGAGCCCCGAGCGCAGAAGCTGATCCTGTGTAGCTGGCCACCCCGTGTCACAAGACGGTGTCCTTGCTGGGCTTTGCTTCTCGCAGCCCTGGGATGGAACCCAGGGCCTCCTCATGCTAGGCAAGCGCTCTACCACCCAGCCGCACCCCAGCCTTGTCACTGCTTTAATTTACATTTCGTCCACGACTTTCTGGGACATCATAACCTCTAAACTTCTTTGGAGAAAAGCCCTTAACTCCAGAACTTTAGAGACAAAGCAGTTATTTCTGGTGAGAAGAAAAACCCAAACTGCCGTGGTCTCTGCCTTGGTCCCCTTGTTCCTGGAGGCAGGAGGAAACGGGGAGAGGTTGACAACAATCTGAGGTGTGGGTTGAGAATCGGGGTCCCACCTTCCACAGTTCATGGCACTGCATGGGTGCCACTTGGTCCCTCTGGCCTCAGTGTCCCACCCCCTAAAGCAGGAATGGCAGGGCTGGGTTTAACTGTGCCAGCCTGCTTGGGAGCTGCCCAGGGACCAGGGAGCACATTTCTGCAAGTGTCTGGGGGACATGATGGGGCATGACCTGGTCCCTGGCCCCTGCCTCTTCCACTCCGGCGCCCTAACCCTGCTGTGCTTCCCGGCCACCACAGCTGGGACCGAATCCCCTGAAACTGAGAGCCCCGTGCACCTCTCCTCCTCCAGATTGTAACGTCAGTCATCTCCTCCCAGAGGTGGGGGCTCCACATGGCTCCTAAGGCAGCCGTGAGGATGGGAAGGGGAGAGGTCCCTCAGGCCTCTGGGAAACAGATCTCTGTGGAGGGGCTGCTATTCGGGGTGCACAAGAATCGGGTGAGCACAGAGCTTGCTGGCAGGGTGAGAACTCAGGCCAGGCTGCCAGCTCCAGTGCTTGAGAGGCACGACATGGGTGGCCTGGCTGCCACACCACTGAAGGCGCACCAGGAGCCACGCAAGCTTCTGGGGCTGTTCTCTTTTTGGGGACCCCTGACAGCTGTTGGACAGGCTCGCTGGCAGGGATGATATTAATTCTGCCCAAGAGGGGATTCCCCAGAACTGGGCTCTTCCCACCCCACCGTGCGGGCCTGCTCCTGGCAGGGGACGGCAGTGGCCTCCTGGTGGGACATGCTTGGCCATCTGCCCAAGGCCACCACGTACTCCAGGAGTCACTATCGCCTGACCTGGATTCCTGGAATTATGTGGCACAATGGAGGCCTGGTCTCTGTCCCCTGACAGCCACAGGAGATTAGATCATTTTGGTCACGGGGACCATTTGGCTTGGGGCATGCTGAGGCGCAGTGGAGTGGGCTGTCAGGGGAGGGCACCCCCTCTTTGCTCTACAGCACCAGCTTGTGTCCAGTTGCACTATCATCCCTGTCCCCAGCGAATCTGGCTTCTTTCATCGCTCTGTGGACTCTGCCCCACATGCCCTGGCGGCTGAGTGGGAGCTTAAAATCCTCTCTTGGCTGCTTCTAGCCTGATCGGTTGAGCTCTTTTACTTTTTTGGGTTTTATTATTGTTAATTTATTTTTTTAAGCTATAACCCCTCGGCTTTTTTTTTTTTTTTTGTACTGGGGCTTAAACTCACACTTGCCAAGCATCATTTGTGCCACTGAGCTAAATCCCTGGCCTTCAGCTCTTCATGTGGAGACAGGATCTTGTAAGTCGCCCAAGCCACCCTCAGACCCCCAATCCTGCCTCAGCCTCCTCAGAAACTGGGCTGATTTAATTTTTGGGTGTGGAGTTTTATTTTGCAGTCTAAAAACAGCACACACTTTAAGCACTCAGCTTAGTGCATGAAACACCCGTGCACCCTCGTGACCAGTATGCGTGTCACCCCAGAAAGTGGTCTTGTGCCTCTCTCTCCCGGCCCTCGTACCCATCCAGGCTAGTTTCACCTCTGCCCCCACGGGCAAGTTTTGCCTGCATGTGAACTTCACACAAATGGAATCACAGTATGTTCCCTTTGTACCTAGCTCCTTTCCTCAATATAATGTCTATGTTAAAGAAAAAAAAAAGGGGGGGGGTTATAGCGGGGCATAGTGGTGCGTATCTGTTATCCCAGCATTCTGGGAGGCTGAGTCAGGAAGATTGCAAGTTGGAGCCCAGCCTGGCACCTTAGCGAGACTGTCCCAAAAATAAAAGAAAGGAAGGGCTGGAGATGTAGCTCAGTGCAAAGGCCCCTACACAAACAGTATCTTGCTATGTAGTCCAGGCTGACCTTAAACTCACAAAGCAGACCAGGCTGGCCTTGGATTTGCAGAGATCCCCCTGCCTCAGCCTCCCAAGTCCTAGAATTACAGGTGTGCACCATCATGCCAGGGGAGCAGGCAATAAATTGCCAAATTAGCTGTGAGATACATTTAGGGCCCACTGCAGTCTCTGCCCCTAGGGCCTCAGACTTGGGTGTGGTTCCGTCCAAGGTTCTTAGGCACTACCTGCCGAGTTTCCTTTCAAGGGTTCGGGCTGGAAGCAGGGTTCTTCTAGTTTGGCTGTGTGACCCCCAACCCCACAAGTACCAGAGGGCCAGGTGCTGCAGCCTGCATCCTCACCAGTTGGGTTGCAAACGACGATTTTTTTTTTCCGGGTGCTTGAGTGGCGGCAGGGAGGCCAGCATGGCTGGAGTGGGCTGGGCAGGGAGACAGCTAGGGAAGGAGGCCGTGGATGTGAAGCTGAGCCGCCCTAGGGCCAGGCTCTGCGGGCTGCAGCTTTTCCTGCAAGACAGAGAGCCCCATGCGGACACCCCCTGCCCTTCGGCCTGCTGGGCGAGTGTCGAAGTGTGGTCAAGGCGGCCAGGCTGGGCTGTACCATGTACAGGGCGGGGGTGTGCGGTGCATGCAGGTTCCCCTCGTGGCTTCCGGCTTACAAGGGCTTCATCAGGATGCGACCCTATCCTGACCCACGGGCTGCAGTACTCGTCAGTTTTTGAGCCCAGGTCTCACTATGGAGCTCAGGCTGGCCTTGAGCTTGTGGCGATCCTCCTGCTTCAGCCTCCAGCGTGCTGGGATTATGAGCATGTGCCATCACCATACCCGCCAGCAATGTTTGTTTTATTTCACGATGAAAGAAATGGCTGCAGACTCACATGGGTCACCTTTCAGTTTCTCAGGGTCAGGAGTGTCGGGAGGCCGGGCGGAGCATTTTTACTGCAGATCGTGAACTAAATGCAGTCGGCAGAGCTGCGTGGAATGGACGGAGGACCTCAGTTCCAGGGGGCTCCTCACAGGAGGCTGGATGCTGGCAGGAGGCCTCGGTTCTTGTCTGGGCCCTGCAGGGTCCTGCTGTGCTCAGGATGCTACCGCTGGCTGTCTACCCTGGGAGTGCTCCAGGCAGGAGCTGTGCTCTCGAATCTGGGCCAGAAGCCGTGCTCCCCCCCCCCCCCCCCCCGCCCCGGCATCTTTTCTAGTGCATGTGACTCAAGGATGGGTTCGGGGCTGTGGTCCCAGAACTCTGAGAGGCTGAGGCAGGAGGATTCCAAGGAACCTCAACAGGAAACTTAACAAAGGGCTGGGGAGACACCACACCATCCCCCAGGAGGCAGCTCCCAGAGCTCTGGTCTGAGCAGGGAGTAGGAATCCCCTCAGTGGAGAGGGCCAGGCTGGGGGAGGCGGGTGGCCCAGTGTGGGCTGGGCGGGATCTGTGGCTAGTCAGTGCAGGGGGTGGGGTCAGAGCCTCAGGGTGTCAGGCTCTGGGCAGGAGCCTGGGCGCATAGGCAAGGAGTCCCAGGTTTGAAGCCAGTCTGGGCAACTTAGCACAGTACTGTCTCCACAAATGAAAATCAGCACCACAGAGTCCTGTCCCCAAAGGGATCCCTGAGGCTGAGAAAAGTGGCTGATGCCAACCACTGGGGACCCAGAACTCTGCTGTATCCCACAGTGTACAGGACACTGAGCCTGGGCCACTGGCCTCACTTCACCCCGTTTTGGTCACTCTGGGGACTAGGCATTGTCAGCAGCTGTCACGCAGCCTGGATGCCACAGGCCACACAGCCCTTCCCTGCCCTCCCAAGTTCAGCAGGGAGCCACATCCCCAGCCCGGGCCCACCCTTTTACAGGGTCTCGCTAAGTCGCTAAACTGTCCAGGCTGGGCTTGAACCTGTGACCCTCCTGCCTCGGCCTGCCCAAGGGCTGTGATGAACCATTCCTAACCTACCGCTCCCGGTGCCCACTCTGTGCTTACCAGCTGCCACACTGGGACCTGCAAAGCCTCTGTCCTGACCACAGCCCTGGGGGAGACAGAGTTTCTCCCTGGAGGAGGAAACTGAGGCTCAGAGAGGCCTGAACAAGCTTCTGGCACAATCCTGCAAGTTCCAGGCGGCAGTCAGGATTTACACTTGGAGCCAAGTGACCGCACTGTCCTGACCCAGGCCAGACAGGGGCAAGGTCCCGCCCCAGTAAAGGCTTCTACTCCTGCTGCCTTCAAGGGGTTCACAGATTTTCTTTGAGGGGTCCCCAAAGCCACCCAGACTTTTTCTGCGAAGGCCCCAGGGGTGTCCAGGCAGCTGGGGTAGGTGACACTGCCACCACCCGAGGCTGACAGCATGTCTGACAGTTCCAGATGGGGGGGGAGACTCACCCAGGTTAGGTGACCCCCTAAGTCCCGGGGACTAAAACTGGGGACAGCCAGGGACAGGCTGGCTTCTGTGTGCACCGTGTCCCCAGGTCCCTGGGGCTGCTCAAGGGCACCCTCGAGGAGACCTCACGGCCACCTCCATCAGGGGAAGGAGAAAACACCGGCCAGGGTGAGGGCCAGGCCGCATCCCACACTGCAGGTGAGGTCCCAGCCACGGAAGGGGCCTGGGCAGGAAGGACCACGGCCACGGGGCAGCTGCTCTGGAGAGCCACCCCGCCACACGGTGTCCCACACGGCCCAGCGGGTCTTCCGTCTGCCTTTCTTTCTTCCTTTCTCTTTCTTTTCTTGCTCTGTGCACTGAACCCAGACCCTCTCACGCATTCCTGCCTCAGCCTCCAGAGTAGTTGTGGTGGCCTGTGCCATGGAGCGAGAGCTTGTCTCAGAGTAAAACACAAAGGGCTGGGGGTGTAGTTTGGTGTTGGAGGGCTGGCCTAGCACGGTGGCACCATGAGAAAGAGGAGGAGGAAGGGAGACAGCGAGGGAGGGAGGGAAAGAGGCAGACAGACAGACAGACAGACACTGAGGCCCAGCAGGTTTGGGGGCAGTTCTGGCAGGGTGCAAAGGGCCCTGCTGGGGAAGGAAGAAGCCCGGGGCTGAATGGCCTCTGGTGAGTGGTTTCTCTTTGCAGAGCCTCTGTTTCCTCACCTGTAAAATGGGGTCCGGCATCCTGTCCCACCTGTGCGGGCCTCCTGAGGCTCCTGTTATAAGACGGGAAAGAGAGCTGGAGGGTGCTGGCTGTCCCCAGGGCTGCTGTGACATCCCTGTCGTTGCCAGCTGAAGCCAAGACCTTGTTAAAACGGGTTTTTCCTTCTCCTTCCTCCACCTGTCCTTTCCTCTTCCTTTCTTTTCTGTCCTTCCTTCTGTCTAGGAGGCAAGGCCCTGAACCCTGGCTTCGCAGTGTCCCCCTGCCGCAGAGCCTGTCCCAGGCCCTGGCTCCTCCCCCGTGTGACCAGCACCAGGCCTTGCCTCACCCTCCCCCTGGGCCTGGGCTCCTCCTGCAGAGGCTCTGCTGGTTTTTTACCTCACAGGTACTATGTGCCCGGTTCTGCGTGGCTGCCTCCAGACCCAGGGCGACCCTCCTCATCCTCAGCGGGTCTTTCCAGACCGTGAGACCAGAGTCACCTTCTCTCTGAGTCTCGGACGTTGGCAGGAAGGCCCCGGTTTGGGGCTTACCACTCCTGATCGGGGACATCCCGAGGCTACCAGCAGGTGTCAGGGAGAGCCAGGCGCAGGATTCTGAGGGCGTGGAATTTGGAGGCGCTGGAAAGGGACCGTGAGATGGAAGAGGCCAGAGGGGCAGGGACCGGGCGCAGGGCTGACCCCGGAGCCTTCTCTTGGCCTCCGCTGCAGGCAGGGCTGCTTCGCAGATGAGAACCCGAGAGGGTAGAGACGGCACACAGCGCGGCGCGCATCAGGCAGGACGGACCCGCTCGCTGACCTGGCCGGGGGAGAGGACCCTGCCCCCTGCGCCCTGCAGGAGCCAGACTGAGATAAACAAGCTCTGTTGTTGTGATCCTGACTGTTACTTTGTTACTCCGCCGGCCGGCCAGGCCCCCTCCATCCACAGCGCACCCCAGGCTCCAGGTTTGGGTACCTGAGACCGTGGCCTCCCACCCTGCCTGGAACGCGGGATTTCTTCTGCTTCGGGGTCTTCTAGGGGTCTCCACGCGGGCAGCGATCCCTCCCCCCACCCCAGGCCCCCAGGCCTAGCGCAGGGGCGGGGCTGCCACGCCCCTACAGTGGAGAGGGCGTGGCCCGCGCTGCCGCTAGTGGGGTGCGGGGAGCCCGGCTGCAGGGCGGGTCTGCTGGTGCAGCTGCCCAGAAGCGAGAAGCGGAAAGCCCGGCTCTCGCTTTGTGACGGAGAAACCTGGACTCCAAACTTCCAGACCGCGGCTCGGAAAAGCACGCATCCTCCTCACTTGCTTCTATAGCACCTGTCCGCAGTGCTCAGTACGAGGAGTCACCGCCCTGGGGGGCTGGGCATACGGCGCATCTTTTTTTTTTCCTTTTTTGGGTACCAGAAATTGACCTCAGGACCTTATGCTTGCCAGGGAGGCACTTGTGTCACTGAGCTATGTCCCCAGCCCTGTAGAGCACACCTTTTTTATGTCCGTTTCCCAAAACATCGATCCCCTTGCTTCCTATAACCTACGTCTTCTGTAAGACACCCATTTCTTTTTCTTTTCCGTGCTGGGAATGGAACCCAGTCCCGGGCCTGCCAGGCAAACGCTCCACCAGCGCTGCTCCCCCGGTCCTCGTTGCCGCCGATCTGAGCACGCCACGTGGTCCTTCCGCAGCCTCTAGTTTCCTCATGGGTAAAATGGGCAGGAAGCAAGCAGCGAGCCCCTAGGAGCACCCCGAGGATGGGGCGAGGCCGCCTGGTCGCGAGTGCTAGGTTTGTTCTCCCGGATGGGGCGCCGGGTCCAACCCGAACGCGCCTGGAGGGGCGCACTGCAGCGCCCGGCTCGTCCAGCCGCGATCAGGAAACCGAGGGCGCGAAGGCGTGCGCACTGGCGGCCACGGCCGCGCGGGGCTCGGGTTCCCGGCCCGGGGCGGGGCTCGCGGGCGGGGCCCCATCGGATCGCGCGGCCGCCCCGCCCCCGCGACAGCGCGCGTCCCGCCGGCGCCCCACACTCGGCCCGCCGCCGCCGCGAGGTGAGTCCGCGCCCCCGCCCCGCGCCCCATCCCGGACTCCCGCCTGTCCGGCCCGGCGCTGGGAGGGGACCCCGACCCAGACCCCCCCGCAGAGATGGGGGTCACTCGAGGGGCTACGCCCGCGCTTGCCTGGACTGTGGGGGCCTCACCCCACCATCGTGCCGTCCGCGCCTCGGTGTCCCGGGCCACCCTGGGGCGCGCCTCGGACGGACGCGGGCTCGACCTCGGGGCTGGAGTTGGCATCGGCACTGCCCGGTGTCCCCGGAGGAGGGAAGATGGCGCCGGGCACCTGTCCCCGCTCGGGTGGGGCCACACACCTGTCGGGGGGCGGCGGGAGAGGCCTTCGCGGGGACCCGGGGAAGGGAGGGTCCCGTTCAGGGGTTCGCGCGGCCGTGACCCCGCGCGGGCCGGCGGGGGCGAGCTCACGGGCTGGGGCATGGCAGGCCGCTGGGGTGTTGGGGTGACTGCGGGGGCGCCCCCTCCGGCGATCCCACGTAACGGGCCCCAGGCTGGTCTCTCTGTGGCCCTTGGCTATGAGCCCTGGTTGTGACTCTTTGTAAACCATTCATTGCGGCTCTAATTTGCCCGATTGAGCCCCGCTGCGGGAGGCTGTTGTTCTGCTGCAGCTGTAACGTTGTTTCTAGGGAGATGGGACCGCACTTAGCCCTGGTGGAGAGAATGAGGCTCAGATCTCTGGAAGGTGGATGCTCGGGTTGTCAGGTCCAGAGCCCGGAGCCCTTAGTTGGATGCCAGGCCAACCTCTCCAGCGGCCACTCCAGCCGTGGTGGCCGGGCAGGCTTCGCTGCCTCTCTGAGCCCGCGGTTGGTTGTGTAAAAACAGGCTCTGGCCAAGGCTCCTGGCTGGATGTGAAGAAAGCCATGCTACACTGCCCAGCTTTACAGCTGTTGGCGCCGACCTAACTATATTTAATTGGTCTTGTTTCGGTGCATACCTACCTGTAATCTCAGCACTGGGAAACTGAGGCAGGAGGACTGCAAGTCGAAAACTAGCCTGTGTGCGCAGTGAGACCCTGTCTCAGAAACCACCCTGAAAATGTTACTCAGGGCCTGCCGTGGGGGTTAGGAGCCCACAGTCCTGGTGTCACTGGTGCTGTTTGCCAGTGTCAGCTACAGGGTGGGTCATCAGACACAGCAGTGGACCCCGGTGGAGGGAAGGCCCCGGAGTCGGGGAGCAGCTGTGCACACCCTGGGCTCCCTCCTGCCCCTGGGCCCCCCTCTTCCTCCTCCTTCCCCTGCCTGTGAGACTCAGCCTGGGATTTGGGGATTTCCCGCTGGACCTTGTGACTTTTCCCTATTACTAAGGACACAGCCCGTCAGATCTGGTCAGATAAGAGATAAAGACAGAGGTTCTTGCCAGCCTGGGCACGGCACAGTGGGGCTGAGGGTCCCGTCCACTGGCCCCGGCCTGCAGGCAGAGTCAGGGAGGCCTCAGGAAGCAGGAGCTGGCCAGGGCACGTGGTCCCCTTTGGTCACTGGCCCTCCCAAGTGGCCATGAGGATCCAAGCCCCGGGCTCTGCCCCGTGACCTTTTCTAATCCCAGGCACCCCTGGCTCTGAGCACCCCCAGGAATACCTTTCTGCTGCCTCCTCAGTTTCACAGTGGACAAATTCAAACACCGAAGTTGGGGTACGGGGCCCCTCAAGTCCTGGTGAAACCCCAGCACCGTCATCTCGACATTAGATTAGCCAATGTTTTTTATTTTTGCTTTGTGACTTAATGTGTCTGGTGCTCCAGGGAGGCTGCTGGCTTCCAGGGCGTGGGGACACAGCCCAGGGCTGAACATTCAGAATGTCCCTTTCTCTTAGTGAGAAATTCATTGGATCAGTCCTTTTCTTTTCTGCAGTGCTGGGGACTGAACCCAGCTCTCCATCCCTGGCCCCTTTTATTTTTTGAGTTGGCCAAGCTGGTCTCAAACTTTCAGTCCTCCTGCTTCAGCCTCCTGAAGTGTAGTGGTTACAGCAGTGTGCACCACAGCAGGCTCACTGGATCCCCTAAGATGTCTCCTAGTTGAATTTCTCCCTCTCCCTCTCTCTCTCTTTCTCTCTGTCTCCGTCTCTCTCTTTTTGGTTGTGGCAGGGATTGAACCTGGGGCCTCCACATGTTAGGTGAGTTGGGCCACTGAGCCATGCCCCCGCCAGAGCTGTTTTCTACTTTTTCATCTTTTTTTCTAAAGATGACCTCAGCAGGGACAGTTCTGTAAGCACCAGAGCTCCTATGAAGTCCCTCGAGGGATAATACGAGGCTTAAAACCGATCACTGGAGCGAGACACACTTAGCCCAACTCTGGGGGTCTGAGTTAGCACCCTCCTGGGCCCCTGCCTGGCTGCCGCCTCCTCTGAGAAGATCTCCCCGACCGCCCTGTCCACCATTCTGTCCCAAGATTTCCTCCTGTGGCCTTTGGCTGCTGAGACTGAGCTGATCGCCTGCGATTGTATGCTGCCGACTCACACTGACCTCCCAGCCCCCTGAGAAAACACCAGGTGACATGGAAGGGGCACCAGTGACAGCTTAGCTGCCTGGTGAGGAGCGGTGGGAGGCTGGAGCCAGGAGCCTGTGAGTGTGGGCCTGGACACGGGAAGGGGACATGCAGAAGCCAGCGCCCCTCCTGGCCGTCCCCTCCTGCATCACGGTGAGGCAGGCGCTGGAGGCCGCAGTGACCCTGCTGCCGGTGGCCTCTTGGCAATCGACCTGCCCAGTGAGACTGTGAAGTTTCTAGACAGCGAGTGGCCTCTTGCCCCCGGCGGGCCCAGTGGCTCCCGGCTCCCGAGAGAGGCCAGCTGTTTTTCTCTCTGCCCACAACAGTTCCAAGCAGCGTGGAGGAAGTCCTCTGGGACTGCTCTGCTTTTGTGGTTGGCGGCCACCAGGAAGCCAGCCGTGAGTCTGGGCTGGACATGTGGGGCTGCTTCCTCCCCTCCCCCGGCCGGCTGCTGGCCTGTCACTGGGTCCCTGAGGGATACAGCTTGTGAGGGCCTAGGTGGCCCCAGGCAGGGAGGGGAGGGCCCTGCGAGCTGGCCGGGCACACGGAGGGCAGCTGATTTGCCTACTGTCAATATTAGGATGTGACAATACAAAACACCCAGCGGGCACCCAGAGCAAACCTGTTTTTCTGGCGGTGGGTGGGGGAAGACTTGGCACCGGCTGCGCAGACAAGTGTGTGTGCCTGGTGTTGGGGCGGGGACACTGCTTTGGCCATCAAGGATGACATTGATGTTGGCATCCAGAGCCAGGAGCTACGAGGCTCTGCCCCGAGGCCAGCAAACGGAGCCACCGGCCTCCTAGCTCGGGGACAAGCAGTGCTGCCCTGCAGAGACTGCGACCCGGGGCCAGCAGGTGTGCACCTGTCCTCTGAGCCCTGTGGCCGAGCTGGCTGCGTCCTGTATGTGCAGCCCCTCTGTCCCTTTCAAGGGGCCACCCCTGCCTGCAGCTATCCCCCTGCCCTTTAGCAGAAGGTGACCCTGAGGCCCAGCACAAATGCGTGTCCAGTTCTGGATCCCCAGGCAGGAACTGGGGGAGCCCGTTTGACCTCCTCCAGCATCATGTCTGGTTGGTCCCCTGGCAGTCACCTGATGGCAGGGTCCTTACCCTGCAGGTGGCCCTGGCTCCTGGCCGGTGGGGCAGACAGACAGGTAAACATTTCCGGAGCCCGTGAGAGGCTGAGTGGCCAGCCCAGGTGTGTTGACCCAAGGCCTGGACAGCCAGGTTGCTGCCCCCGGAGGACGGAGGAAGAGACCTGTGGCCGGCAAAGGAGCCAGCAGCCTCCCGGGCGGTTGTGGGGTCTGGGAGGTACCTGGCGAGTCCCCAGATGGAAAGGAAGGAGGAGTCTGCGGCCACCTGGGGCACAGTCCGTGTTCTCCACGACCCACGAACAGGGCAGTGTTTTTAGACTTTTTTCTCCCCTTACCCCACCCCAGGTACTGAAGGCCGGACTCAGGGCCTAGGCTGGCGCTGACCACTGGGCCACACCCTGGCCCTATGTGGTGTAGTTTAGTAGAGGAAAGGAGCTGGGGAAAAGCCTCCCGGCTCTGCTTTGCAGATGTCGACCTAGGAGTTTCTCTGATAAGCGTGGCAGAAGTTGAAAGCGCGGTGGTGGCGCACACCTGAATGCTGAGGAGGCTCCAGGAGGCTGAGGCAGGAGGATGCAGGAAGGGTCAGGGTCAGCCGGGCAATGCAGCAGTTTAGTGAGGCTTTGTCCTACAGCAGAAAGTAAGGCTGGGATCTTATACCTCAGTGCAAAGACTGGTTCAGTCCCCAGTATTATGAAGTGAAAAAATAATTCTTAAAAAGACCCTGAGTTTGCGCCTGCCTTGCAAGCACGCAGTCATGAGTTTGATCCCCGGTACCGATAAAAAAAAAAATCCCACCAAAAAGATCCTGAGTTAAAATAAATATAATATCAGCACCAGAAAAAAAACATTATGATTTAAAATAAATGTAATTTTAGCACTAGGGAAAAAAAAGACTTTGGTTTAAAAAGGAGGTGAGAGCCTGGTAGCTCATGCTGTAATCTCAGCTTTCTAAGAGGCTGAGGCGTGAGACCCAGTCTCCAAATGAAAAGTATGAAAGGACTGGGGTGCAGCTGGGGTGCAGGCCCAGGCTTCCTTGGGACCTCTCACTTCATGTGCCTGGCAAGCAGGGTACAGCCACCTGCTTGTCACCGAGTGGGTGCTGTCCCCGCCCCCAGCCCATCTGCACCTCTGTGGGCTCCTCAGGTCACTGTGTGGGCAAGGGTGGGTCGGTGAGCTGCGTCCCCAAGTGCCCGCACTGCGGGCTTCCAGGTTCCGGAGGGTTTCAGTTTTGGGGGTCCTGTCCCTTGTCCTCCCCTCCCTGGCCGAGGGGGTCACGGCATCGCACCAAGACCAGGACCCCACAGCACAGGTCTCTGGGTCATGCATGCTGATGGCTGGTGACGGGGGACACTTGCCTTACAGAAGTCATTGTACCCGCCTTTTTATTTTTGTCTCATTTTTGGTCTTTTCGAGA